GAGGAGGGAGGCCTTAGAGCCTATCTTCTGGTGAATTTTTAGATTGACCTAGCTCTCTATTTCATCAGAAAAACATGAGCAGTTAGCTTGAGTAACTTGCCTTCTTGGCTCAGATGGCAGAGCGTCTGCCTAGTAAGCAGAAGGTCACCAGTTCGATTCTGGTAGAAGGCAATCATTTTTGCCCTTTCTCATTTCTTTTGCCGCTGCTTCTTTTTCTTTTCTCCCGAGGATCGACTTGATTGCTGTCGCAATTTGCCAGCGCCGATCCGTGCCAGCTCATCGCTATAGCAGATTGACACTACTCCCCATCTTTTTTTCGCTGCTTCCGCTGTTTAGAATGCCGGCTATATCTTCCCAAAGCAGCGAGAATAGTAGTTAGGACTGGCAAACTTGGATTTCGGCAAAAAAAAAAAGGTTTTGCCTTTGCTATCCTCTCCTTTTTTGCGTCTATTATTTTCCACTCTATCTATTTAATAACATTTTGCTATGGCTCTGCCACGGAAGAGCACGCTCTTTGGCTCTCCCGAGGAGCGGATATCCGTTCTCGAAAAGATGTTTGACATGTCCATTGATCCTATCGGCAGCATGGACACAATGGTCATAGCGCTGGGCTGCGTCATCTTTGCTATTACTGGCGCCTTTATTGCTGCTGCCTGGGTGAAACACTCTTACCGTCCTATTCGCGCAAAGAACTTGCCACTCACTACCGTCCTATATGTCTCTGGCATCCTGTGGTTTATCGGCGACTTGCCCATGAACGGCCACGTATTATTGAAGGGGGCGTTTAGTCAGTGCAAGTTTTGGAATATCTGGGTGCGCGTATTGTTTTGCTTCATCTACACGTCCGTCTTGTCTATCCGCTGCTATGCGCTCGACCGCGTGTTCAACCAAAACAAGCCTACGCGTGGTCTGGCATATTACTTGCCATCTATTGTTTTCATCGGCGGATACATCGTGTACTCTATCGTCACGACTGCGTTGCCAGGGCGGATGACGATTGGATATGCCGAGTCGCTCGAGCTGTGTACGACGACCGAGGTCTACGTAATCGTCACCCTGTGTTTGTTGTGGCTTAATTGGGCTATCATCATCGTCATGATGATACGTTTGCGCAATATCCAGTCGACGTTCAACGAGTTTTACGAGTTCCTGTTCATCTGCTTCTTTGGTATCGCCGCCATGGTAAAGACAACTACCGTGCACTTTACTCATCCAAAGTACCCACTCGTTTTGGTCTACCGCATTGCCGAGACTTTGGGCGACGTGCTCATTATCAACGGCATCATATTGGTAATCATGGCGTACCCGGTGGTCATGAGCTTGGTGCGCAATAAGGAGTATGAGCGCGAGTGGCTTTTGCGGCTGCGTACCGACGGGTTGCAAGACATGTACGAGGCAAACCTCAATTTGCGTGCCGAGGGACCCGTGCACTATGCGCGGATGAACGGGTCGGTCGCCAACCGGCTTGAAAAGAACATGGTTGAAGAGTGTAGGCGCGAGAGCAGGTACTTTGATATGCAGGACTTTGGTCCTAACAACTGCGAGCAAGCTGTGGATCAGGCATGCAACGGGTACCGGGCCTCGGAGGAAGCGACAGCTATTCCGCATAGCCGTGGCAACATTCGCTGCTACGATACGCAGTCAGTAGACTCGCTTGATACTGTGGACGATGGCTCAAAGGGCAGAAGAATTCTGTAATGTACAGAGCTTTTTTTTTATTTCCTTCTATTTTTTTTGTTGCGCGCTTTATCCTTTTTTCACTCTAAATTATTACACTTGTACTTGAATGTCCCCTCCCCAACCCCCCAACTTTTTAGTGACATTAATTTATTACTGAGATGCGCTAGGTGCATTGGCGCAGACGAAATCTACAAAGAAGCAAAATGCATGTTTTTCAATGTAGACATGTGCGTCCTGCTGTTTATTTGCTGCGACTGCGGACATGACTGCAACAACATGCATAGGTTGGCAGTTCTCCCGGTCTGCATGAGGGGAAAGGCATTTGTTAGAGCGATCTTTGGCCCATCCATTTTTTGCGCTTTGACTGCAAAATACAAACTGATGTATTGAAATAGCGTCTCCGCGTAAATAAAAAGATTACTTCACAAAATGTACTCGATAAACATAAATGTTAAAGTGGATACTATTTGCAATACATTAGCCAGGAATAAAAAAAAAAAATACAAACGTCTAGCCACTGTTTGCACCGACTTCCAAAAGAGATAAAAAAAAATAAAAGATTGTCAAAATAAATTAAGAGCAAAAAAGAAATCGACACCTGCAGGATTCGAACCTGCGCGTCCAATGGACAACGCCTATCAACAAGCACTGCAAGTATTAGCAGGGCGTCGCCTTAACCACTCGGCCAAAGTGTCTATTTTTTTGAGCTAAAGCTCAAACTTCTGATGATGATTGGTGCAGTCGGTGTGTATTTAATCCAATACCCTGCTTTATTATAATCATGTGGGTTTTTTGGCAGTGTAATTTATCTAAAAGAAAATATTTTTTCAAGTTAGTACTTTATTAAGCTATTCGTTCTTTTTATCGTCAGGCACATCTGGTTTGCTATCGTTTTGAGGCGAGTCCCTGCGAATAGCCTTTTTGATAGCAGCCAAGAGGGGGATAGTGACAGGCAAAAAGAAAGGCAAGTAAATGGCGTACTTGTGCTGATCAGGAAAGTAGAGTAGCGAGACCATTGAAGGGTCAAAGAAGGCGCCTTCAGCAAAATAGGAGGCATTAGCGGCAAGTTCAAACGCCAACAGCTGGTTTCCAGAGGATAGTGCTTGGGGGATAGAGCGTAGTGCGGAGAGAGATTGGTCGACTTGCACTTTGATTTCATCCATGACTACCATATTCTCCATCGACTCTACCAAACGCACCAATGACTGCAGGGTGGTGATGGCGGTCTGGTGATTGGCGACCATCCACTGACGCATCAAGGCGTCGAGCTCCCAAGAGCTGATACCGGTAGCTGTGGCACGCTGTAAGGAGACTCGGGTCCCGGGTATTAGCGGCGTGTCATTGCGAATACCTACGAGTTCGCGTAACTGGGCGATAAATATGCCAAAATACTTTTGCAACTCGTCGCGCGAAATAACCACACTAGCACCAACCTCGGTACCAGGCAGGTTGGCAATTGCTATGCCGCCCCACTGCGAGACGACAAATGCATTGGTGGACGAGCCCTCGATGCGTAGGGGCTGGGACCGGAGTGCGGGAACGTAGAGAATAAAGCTGATGGTGGGTGCGATGGGATCGGTAGACGCCAGATTCCACCACGGCGAGTTGGCGAAATGGGGCAGCATATCGGGCGTCAAGTACGTGCCGTTGTCGTGGGCCAGAGGCGTAACGGGTGGTGGGCCGGCGTGGTGCAATATTTGCGTGGAGACAGCCAGCTTGGCTAGTGGGCGCAGGGTATCGGCAAAAGGGCGAACAAAGATATCGGCTGCTTGCTCAATATCCCAGCTCACGGCAGCACCGCCAACGGGGTCTTCGTTGAGCAGGGTGAATGTGACCGAGTACTCTGGCGCGTACTTGAGGGCCCGCCTAGCACCCTTTTTCTCCCTCAGCTCGCGCTCCTCCTTTGCGACTATATCCGCCACCAGCTTTGCCACCGCAGCGTCGCGTTTCTTGCTGTCTGCCTCGGATACCGATACATGGGCAACCCGGTCCACGCCAAAATCCACAGCACCAACTGCCGCCTCACGCAAACGCAACGTATAATGGCCAGGCGCATCAGGTACCTCGGTCTTGTGTCGTACTTGTGCGGTGTACCTGACTCGCAAATCATGTGTACGCTGCTTGTCTATCAGTTTCTGAGCCATACGCTCGATATTCTCCACTGTTACAGTCATTGGCGTGTCAATGTAGAAGGTGAAGGGCACTACTTGATCTAGCGCAAACTGGGAAATCTCTGTGGCTGGTAACTCTGCCCGATATACGCGTGTTGTAGTCCACCATAGTGGTAGGCCTAGTAGTAAGAGAAAGAGAATGCTGGTTACTACTAGGCGTCGGTCGTTTTGTACAGAGATTATCGTCTTTGGATCGCTGCGACGACCCAACAGCGTGCGAATGCGGTCGCGTAGAGCAGCCATTTGGAAAAAAGATTATATGCAAAAAATAAAATAAAACAAAATAAAATAAAATAAAAGATTGTGCGGAAAATAAATAAAATAAAAAAGGATACAATGTGGTTCATATTTTGAGAATAGCATTCTTGAGTTGAACTGCTGCGAGTCGAGCTGTGATTGATTCGACAGAAGGGATCTACGGGCGCACTACACTTGAGTGGAATGCGGGATATAGGCAGGGGGGGAGGAGAAGCGGGGGTGTTTCTTGGGAGAGCAAGGATACAGAGCGCGGCACATACGGGGGTGTTGATACACACTATACGCAATGAGGCAGCGAGAGTGTACCCCCCTACTGCGCAAGGGAAGGGGGTTTGTTGGCGATGGGGGGCAATAGCGTACATCCCTTTTCCCACTACTCTTTCTATAAAGCACATCAGTGCAGGTTGGGCAAACTCTAGGTCCATTCTCTCGCTTTCTCTCGCTTTCTGCGTAAATAGTCCAACTTCTCTCTCTCTCTTTCTCTCTTTTCTCTTTTCTTTTTTTTTTTCCTCGATTACAATTTTCTCTCTCTCTTTTTTATCACCATTAACTAGCGCATAAACTGCATATTAGCGCATCCACTTTTTATATTTACTCTATCAGCTTTCGAGTGTCCATTTTTATTTTATTTTTTTTGCACTATACCACGTTCTGGAGCTTGATTTCTGCTTTGCAGCCCCTCTTTTACTATTTGTTTACGCCAGCTACTAGGCACTTTCTTTTCTTTTTGCATACGTTTATTATTTCTCTCTTTCTCTCTCTCTCGCTCTTGTACTTTTTTATATCCGACGACAACACGACTAGGCAAGTATCTCTAAAGATGCATAATATGTGTGGGCTAGGATAATATACTAATGTGGCGCGTTTTAATAATAATATTTTTGTAGAGGACTTTATACACATTGACGATGCCGCAAATGCTGGTTTTGGTGGGTCTGCCGGGGTGTGGCAAGACGGCGTTTGCCAAGCGCCTGGCTGGCATGGTGCACACGTGGGAGCGCATCAACCAGGACGAGATGGGATCGCGTTCGCTGTGCGAGCAGCACGCGGCAAAGAGCCTAAAGGACGGCAAGAACGTGGTTATCGACCGCTGCAACTTCGACGAGGACCAGCGCAAAATCTGGGTCAAGATAGCCGAGGAGGCGTTTGCGCCGGTGGACGCGCTGTTCTTTGACGTGGATGTCAAGGTGTGCAAGGAGCGCGTCAAGGCGCGGAGCGCGCACCCGACGGGAGTCGAGGGCAAGTTCGGGGCGGAGGTGGTGGCGCGGTTCGACCGGCTGCTTACGCGGCCGACGATCTACGAGGGCTTCCGGTACATCCACAACGTGGCGGCGCATCTGCCGGCGCCGAAAAAGGGCATGACCGAGGACGAGGTGTTCAGCGCCGGCACGATCGCCAGCATCATGGCCATGTTCCCGGCGAGCAAGGCGCCCGACGCGTGCAAGCCGCCGGCGCCGGCGCCGTGCAAGGCCGAGGAGGTCAAGGTGGCGGTCAAGGTGGAGGAGAAGTGCGCGCCGTGCGAGGTCAAGGTGTGCTGCCCGAGCGAGGCCAAGGTGGTGTGCTGCGCGGGCGAGAAGAAGTGCTGCCACGAGGTGAAGGAGGAGGTCAAGGTGACGGTCAAGGTCGAGGAGGAGGTCAAGAAGAAGGCGGCCGTCGACTTCTGCGCGGTCGACTTTGCGGGCAAGCCGGCGGTGGGCACGATCACCAAGCCCAACGAGGGCTACGGCACGTACAAGGAGACGAAGGCGATGTGGGAGGACGAGAACCACACGCAGCACTTCAACCACTCGCTGTACAACGAGCAGGCGGACCGCGAGCTGGCGGCCGGGCGCGAGGCGGACCGGCGCACGCGGCACGTGCAGCACTCGGACCACATGGTCAACCCCACGGCGGGGCTGGCGCGCGCGTTCGACCACCTGTCGCTGGACCGCGACCAGGAGGGCCACGAGGTCGACTGCGACGGCAAGCGGCGGCACTTCCACGACCGGTCGCACTACTACCACCAGCACGAGCACCAGGAGAACGCGAAGGCCGGCACCGCGCGCACGTACGAGCACAAGCACATGAACAGCTTCCGCCACGTCCACGCCGACAAGCCCGACAAGGCGCGCACCGAGGCCTTCGAGCACCGCTCCTTCAACTACGCCTACAAGGGCGGCGCCGGCTTCGACCCCGAGCAGGTCATGATGAGCTCGTCCAAGAACAAGCTCAAGTTCGAGGACGAGATCAAGGCGTCCTTCCACAACCTGCCCGTCAACGACCACTTTTCCTTTGCGCAGAACGTCAAGTGGGAGACCGAGTTCCCGACAAAGCCCAACTGGAGCGTCTTTGGGGGCAAGTAGCATCAGACTCATTACATTATCCAAGACTTTTACTTATATTAAAAAGGACTATTGTTTATCTTAAGACTATTGTTTATCGTTAAAGCTGTTATAAAAATGAAAGCCAGCTTGCTAGTGAATCAAGAATTCGCTATTATTAAAAGACTATTGGCTATCTTTAAAGTTGCTATATAAGTGAAACTTAGAGCTTGCTTGCTTCGTGCGGCAGCACCGGGTGGTGGTGCGTGTGCGGGCAGCACTGCCGCAGCTGCTCAAACGTCTCCGCCGGCAGCCACATGAAGCGCCTAACCTCGGCGGCCAAGTCCTCGCTCGCAGCCATGCCGATCCACTTTTGGTCTTTCGCCAAGCCCTCGCCCACAGCCTGGCGAATAAAGGCCGCAGCCAGCTCAGCCGAGACCGCGCGGATCCGCTCGATGCGCGGGTACAGCTCGCCATCAGCCTTCTCCTGCTCATTGAGCGATGCAGCCAGCGCCTTCGACACGGCGTAGATCATCGTGTCGGTGATGCACGTGGGCTTGCACAGCACGGCGCCGAGGCCGATCGCCGGGAACACGTACATGTTGTTGCCCTGCCCCGGCACATACACGCGGCCTTCGGCAGTGTACTCGGGAAACGCAGTGCCCGACGCGAAGAGCACGCGGTTGTTGGTGCACCGCATAGCCTCCTCGAACGAGCACTCGGCCTTCGTCTCGGGGTTAGACAGGGGAAATACGATGGGCCGTGCCTGGGTGTTGATCTCGCTCATGCGCACGAGGATCTTCTCGCTGAACGCCTTGTAGATAGTCGACAAGCCAATGAGCGCCGTCGGCCTGACGTACTCCAGCGCCTCCTCGATGCTGGCGCACTGAGTCGAGCCGTTGTCCTCGCGCGCGAAATACACCTTGTGCTGCGCCAGCCGGTCGCCGCGGTTCGCCGTGATCATGC